CTGAACCTGGAGCTGCCCTGCTTCCTGTCAGTCCTGCTGCCCACCACCCCCGGACAGGGCCATGCCCCCTCTCAGGTACGCCCTCTGCAATCAGCACAGACACAAAAGGGTGTTTCCACATGAACTCTTTTCCCTGTGGGAATCTGATTCAGTTCTGGAAATGTCCTGGCTTGGCTGCCTGAATCTTAATTTAACAGATTCTTGTCTCCAAGAACTCGCTCTTTTGGGACTTTTAAGGTGATTATTCCTATCGGATCAGCCTACTTGGAGAATACTGAGAATTAGCTAACCTAACCTACACATATCCGAACAATAATATTTTCAATCTAAGCAGTGAAATTAACTCAGTTAAATGAGTTTCGGTCATGCACCACATACTGGCTGAATTGCTGTAGAACAGACTTCACAGTGTTGATTAAATGTAACAAACTCCTCTCTCTCATGAGCCTTACAGGGATTTGTTCTCCACTTCCCTCTAATATAATGACCTTTGGATGGGGAGTTGGGGACTGGGGGCTAATATCAGAATTTGTAACTTGACATTTGACATCGACTCTACGCCCTCCCCACTCTGACAGTTTTTTTGTCTCCACACAAAACATTCAAGTCCAAGGAGAACAGCCAGGGGCATGAGGAATCTACCAGCCAGGCTATCACTAAGCTCAAAGCCTTGGGACTCTGTTTTCCACAATCTATTATGATAGAAATGGAGAATAACACCCAAAACTCTATGTACAAAGAACTGCTGATCTCACTGAAGCTACTGCATATGGAAGAGGAAAGATGCACCTAACCTGTAATGGTTCAAACCTGAACTACTCCCAGCACTGCCCCATCCCCCAGCCCTTCCTTGCTACAATGCTCCTCTCTTATTAAGGGGTCAGGGGAAAAGGTCAGACAGTCAGAAATGCTAAGTGTTTCTACTTTTTTTTTTTCCTGGCCCAATATCTGAGCCATTTCTGCAGAAGCTCCCAAACTGTAGCCCCCTTTGTTCCCTGTTCTCCTCGATTACTGATTTTACTTGGTTCCTGGTCAAAGCCTATGGGGTATTTGGATCTTGCACCCATCGCAAGTGGTCCCCTCTCCCTTCACCTACGGTGGCTGAAGAGGCAGAGGATTACGCAGAGGAGCAGTGAGAGATCAGTCATCAAAACCCATCTGGGCTTTTCCCCAAGTCACTCACTGCTACCAAGATACCTCCCAACTCGGCCCAGGAAGACCAGGCCGCTGCCCTGCCAGCTAGAATTAGGGCCACTTCTTGTGCTCACATGCTAACCTGGCACATCCGGTGTCAGGAACAGAAGCTTCTGATCAGAGAGAATACAGTCATGAGGTATTTTTTTTTTTTTCTCTTTGTCCTTTTAGACAAGTCGGTTATTTCAAGCCTAAGTTACTAGGTCTCCAGGAGCAGCACAATTTTGTTCCTACCTCTACAAGTCCCCTGCCCACCCCCGGAACTGTCAAGGTTCCCCCTTTCCCCTCTTCCTCACACCCCCGTGCTGTGCCACTGCTCTCCTGACAACAGGCCATCAGGCAGCTCTCGCACAGGCCCTCGGGCCCTGGTCAAGGTGGGCTGCCGCCACGCGGTCACACATCTGTTCCTTTTGTTGTTTTGTTTTCAGCCAACACTAGAACAGAGAGAAGCCAGGATCAACTCACAAACAGATACAAAGCAAAGAGACAGAGAGACAGTGATTTAGAGGCCGGTCACCAGAAAGACGGCGTCAGGGTGGGAGAATGCCCCAGATGGCAAGGCCCCTTAATGGATGGAACCAAGTGTTCAGTCACTCTCTCACGCTTGGGTAGAATGTTCAGTTGGATGGCATTCACGTGGACACTGGGTTGGGTGGATGTGCTCCGATCAGTCCCATCCATTGTCCTTGATCATGTGTGCTAGCTCGATGATGTATTTTCCTTCTTTATATTTCTGGCTGCTTTCAAAGGCATGTTCCTAGGAAACACAAAGAGAAGAGAGAAGATACTGGATGGCCAAAGACAAGCAGGTGACTTTTGTAACACAGGAGCAAAGCTGGGGCCGATGACAGACAGCATTGGGACCACTTAAGTTTTGTCCCAGCTTGACCCAGACGCATTGAGAGAATTCCCACCATCAAGCATGCTATGTCCCTTTCCATTAATTATAGCACTGAGGCAACACCAGGACTTTCTCCATATTTTGAATTGAATTTAAGTATTTTGAACTTAAATATTCTAAGTATTTTGTCAATCTTTACAGTGGAATTTCTTTAGGATCGTTGCTCATTCAAGTCTTTGCCTAAATGTCATCATCTCAAGAAGGTCTTTCCCAACGACTCCACTTAAAACCACAACTTCCACTGTAGCAACCCCTCTCCCCTTTCCTTGCTTAATCTTCACAGCACTTACCACTTTCAAACATACAGTATAACTTGCATATCTATTTTGTGTTGTGCCTCCTACTACTACAATATAAACTTCACAGAAGGCAGAGATTTTCGTTTGGCTTGTTCACTGCTGGATCCCTAGTGTCTAGAAGACTGCGTGGCACATAAAAGGTCTGCAATAATTAACTGCTGAATGAATGAATGCATATGCATATCTTTTGTCTTAAGGGAACTTGGTTTCTGATGCTACCCAGAAATCTGCTCTATGGACGTAACCATAAAGTTTGTGTGTCATAATTTTAAACTGTACTTCATTAAGCTTAGAGAAAAGACACTCAGAGAGAGAAACAAAGTATTGTGAGGCCAAACAGGTCTTCTTTTCATTTCTTATCTTGTAGTTTCTATGTCAGATGTGTTAAGTCTGTTTTTCCTTCACTGCCTTTCTCTAGGGAGACAGGAGCTATATTAACTCCAGGCTGAAGAATCTGTCAGCCCTCAAGGCCCACCCAGCTGCAGGGCCTCCAGAGGGAAAGCTCAAAACAAAGCACCTGGCAGGTTACCATCCTAAACCTGCAGCACTGTGGACTTTCCCAGCTTATATAGAAGCCCCAGAGAAAGATGTCCTAAATAGGCGTAGGATCAAAGGGCTATTTTATTTGCAGACAGAGATACATAAAAACATCTCGGTGTATCACCAGTGCCATGAGATGGCTAAGCGCGAAGTACAGAAGCAGTAGACATCAGCCCTTCCTCCCGAGTGCCCATATCAGTAAGTGCCCATATCAGTAAGTGCCGATAGGTTCTGGGGCAGCGTTTATAGGAACTGTATCTTCTGTTCTAGAGCTCAAGGGCTTTGGGTTTCAGAACAAGAGTTCATACTTGAGTGTCTTCTTGAGAGAGGAAACATTCCACATATGGGGAAGGGAGGGGCACTGAGGGAGAACGTGCAAACACACCACACACATACAAGAGCTGTGGGCTCAGCAATAATTTCCCTGACACTTCATTATTCTCCAGCTCTGTGTGTGTGTGTGTGTGTGTGTGTGTGTGTGTGTGTGTGTGTGTGTGAGAGAAGTACACCCGAAAGAGAGAGAGAGATGGAGGAAGGGAGGGAGGGAGGGAGGGAGGGAAGGAGAGAGGTGTACATAGCAAAGAATGTGGTTCAGGAAAAAGACCTACTGTTGCACAGTAGTGTGTTCAGGGTAGAAGAGAGGAAAAATAACAAAACTAGGAAAGTTAGAGTGCATCTCTATTAAACAAACATGCAAACAAAAAACAAAAGCAAAACAAGTCAACAGCCCCCAAGCCATAGGACATTTGCAAAATGTTACAACTGCACTCCAATGGACAGAGTACTACATCTGGAGCCTACGACACCCCAGACTGAACCCCATTTCTGCTTCCTACTCCCAGAGGCATCACTTAACCATTTACAATTTACAAAATTAAAAACTTTCTTTTCGCAAAATTGGGATAATTATAAATTCTTCACAGGATTATTATGAAGGTCTGAAGAAATAATGGAATGAAAGATTGGAGCACTGGGCCTGGCACAGAAGAGGTGTTCAAAGATAAATATTTTGGGGAAACAGATGTTCTCTATTGTCCTGTGAATATCATTATATGTTAATATGTTAAAACTGTTCTGTTTACCTGTGGCTTTGCCCCCTGGTGTCATGACTGTGAACACCCGAGGGTAAGGACTAGCTCTCTTCACCTTTGGATGTGACACAAAGGCTTTCAATAAAGCTTGTCAAAAGAGTAAATCATTTTACCTAAAGTCAAGAACAAACCCAACTAATTCAGATTTATCTCCTGCCTATAATTCAGCACATGCTCAAAGGAATAAGATAACCAAGAGGCTGGGAAATAGAGAAAAGGCAGAACATTTCTGGATCATCAAAACCAGAATTATGGCCACAGATCACCCAGAGGCGGCCAGTGGCCATACCGAGGGGGCAGAATGGCCAAGATCGGTTTTTCCCACAGGGAACAGCCAAAGCAAACATAGGGAGCTCTGGCTAAACCATCTTGGCATCATGAAACACAACGTCTAGGTTTTCTTTCTAGTCCTAAACATTCAAGGGCAACGTAGAAGATGGACTCTAAAGGCTGTGCTGCTCCGTTGCAAACTCCACCTGCAGCGGTTTTTAAGACCTGCACATTTTTGAACTTTATTTAAATGAAAGCATACTTTTATGCCTGGCTTCCATTGCTCAACATCTTTTTTTTAAACAGACTTCATATTTTTAGAGCAGTTTTAGGTTCACAGCAAAAAGGAGCAGAAGGCACAGAGATTTCCCCTGTACTCCCTGCTCCCACACAGATAACCTCCCCCACTATCAAAACCTTACAGAGTGGTACATTAGTTAAAATCAACAAACCGACACTGGCACAGCATTATCACTATGCCAGCAGTTTTGACCACTCTTATATGATCCTTCTGAAGCTAACTAATTCAGGGCATGCGAGCCAGCCCCACACTGACCCGAGGCAACTGACAGGACAGGTAATTTGAGGCATTTTACATGGAACACACTGCCCTCCCAGAGACAGAAAGATTCATTTTTCAATATCCCCACAATGACCGAGAGGGCAGAGAAAAGCACTGTGAAAAGATCTGCCAATAATAATAACGGCAACAACAATAGTACAAGTTTATTTTCACCGAACATGTATACCTCCTCCCACCCTGGCAAAGGACTGCTCACTCTCCGAGGTACCAAAAAGATGTGAAAAACATTTGTTTAGTTAAAGAATGAATGAATGAATGTCCAGCTGGGAAAGTCCAGCCATGACTATATCCAACAGTGAACCATACAAGGAGAGTGGCCATATAGGCAGAGCCGCTGAATTACTTATTAATCATGTTTGGTGATGCATAGCATAGTGCCCAGGATACTATGCGGGCATTTATTGGAGCATTAAAGCATGGGCTCTGTAATCAGGCCGCACTACCTGGACTCCTGTCCTGGTTTGGCTATGTAATGGCTAGGTGACGGTGCACACACTATTAGCCTCCCTAAGCCTCAGTTTCTTCATAAAATAGGGATTAAAATATGACTATGCTCTAGGGATGCTGTGGAGACTAAATAAAATAATGCATGCCTGAAATATAGTAAGCTGTCAGGAAATGCTACGTTATTATCATTTATTAAATTAAAAAGTAAAGGGGTGTGTGTGTGTGTGTGTGTGTGTGTGTGTGTGTGTGTGTGTCTGTCTGTCTGTCTGTCTCAGGGCCAGGTGTGAAGGAATGAGTAGGAAGAGGGGACTATCAGGGAAAAGGGAAGAATGAGTGTGGCAAAAAGGAGTGTGCTAGGAACTGCTCTTTGAGCTCAGTTTCCTGTCCTGGCCTAAGACAATCCCACAAGGCCAAAGAAAGCTTCCTTCTAATGTGAGGCTCTCAGGGACCCCCTTCATGGCCCCCTCCCCACCAATGTGAGACTCCTCAGTACTTACATATTTCCAGCCCAGGGTGGTTTTGCAGTTCTCGCAGTAAATGTCTGCGACTGCATGCAGTCCTGTTAGCAACACTCGCTCTTCTGCAGGCCCGCAGCCCACGTTAACTCTAAGCCAAGGGACAGAAAGAGAGAGAGCGAGGGTCGTTAGTCACATGCTTATCAAGCTGAGCCTCTAGCAAAAAATTAACCGAACATGGCTGCCTCAAGGGAAGCCAACACCGACAAGGACATCGTCTATAACTGAAATCAATAACAACTCCCAAAAGGTGGAAAATCTTTGTTGAAGTGAATTTTCAGTCCGCAAGTTCTGATTCAATGGGTCTACTAAAAAGGTCTTTATGGTTGAGATTTTGCTTAGAATTTTTGTAATAAATGCTTTTAATCTTGTGATTTAAGGGGACAAACTGACAACCACATTGTGAAGTCCCTAGCCATGAGCACAGGTTTTCAGAGCTTACTGAGGACTGAATGCAGCCAGCTGTCAAACATGATGGCTCAGCCTTGTCCCGATCACAAGGATGAGTGAGCCCTGGGTATCAAGTATACTATGCTCCTCTCCACAGAGCACACATTATCTCAAGCTGAACACACTAGATTTCCATTTTCACAGCCCATCGGGCTTGTGTGACCTTTACCTTCCTTTCTCAGGTCAGAGGCTATAAATGATGTGCCCAGTTAACAACTGAGGGCTGGGACAGACTGTGTATCTGCAGAAGAGGATGAAGACTCTTCCCTAACTGGGCCTTCCCTCCAGCCTTAGGTCTTTCAGCAGATGTTGGTGTCTTCCGTTCACCCCCTTTCTCTTCCCTAATGACATATCTCAGACCTGGTTATAAGACCTCATCCTGAGGCTCTCTCAGAAGCACTTCAGCTTCTTCCCTATGAGACCACACACAGCCCTGTGATGTACCTACTGGGGGTAGAGAATATATTATTTATAGCCAAATATGCTGCCAAAGAAAAATAACTGTGGAGAGTAACACTACACAGGTTTTTACTGTGGCAGAGAGGGTAGGGTCCATTTTTTAATTATCATTGAGTGTTGCTTTCCTCCCCCACCCCTGAAAATTTTCACCGAACACTGGATGTACTATTCAGAGACACTCACACTGAGTTAAAGAGGTATGCTCGTCCTTGACTTCCTTGGAACGACTGAAATGCAAGAAAACAAATCAATAGTTAGATGTCCATTTCATCCACCCATTCGGAAGACCAGCCCCAAATCACAGCAATCATGACCTTCTAGGATTGACACAGCAAAAAGGGAGCAGTGAGCCAGTTAACGGTCCAGCTGGCAGATGGCATGGCAGGAGGAGGAGAAAGCAAAATAAACAGAGCTACAGCGCGTGAGAAGATAGAAAAACCTAAACTCTGCAATATCATTAAAAACTTCTTCGCTCCTCACATCGTCTGATATAATGAATCCACCTGAGATAACTAATCCCTATTGGTCTTTCCTAGACCCACTTCATTTCAGCCATTCACACTGGCCACAGCTTTCCTCAGGTTGGCTAGGAAACCAGTGCCAGCACCTTTGCTCGCCCCCTCAGTCCAACCCTGCAGAAGACAGTAGAGAATCCCCGAGATAGGATTAAACCACCTAGCAGAGCTTCTCACTTGTCTTCCCTTCTTGTAGATCCTAACTGCCAGACAGTTACAATCCTCCAAAGCGGGAGCTCTCTTTTTGAGGTGTAAACAACTTGAACTCGAGATCACAGGAATGCTAATTATGCAACAATCCCATTTTAAATTTCTAGCTTAAATATGAGCTTCCTTCTTCCAGCTGAAAGATGGCAGGGAACAGGAGAAACAGGAGCCAGCATTTGCCATGTAATTTGGCGTCTACTTCCACTAACTCAGGCCCTATCCGTGTCTCTCTCCTCTGGTTACACTGAAATGTCTGGCTGACATGAGCCAGCCGTGTTCTGCATTGCTGCCTGCATTTTTAATGTTGTCTGACAGTTGTGCCCTGAATTAAACATCCTAGTCTTCTCTGAAAACCACTCAAAAAACAAAACAAATAAAGGGTTCTCCCATGGCCTTTTATTCAGTGGCTGGGGAAATCTGAGGGTGACTGTTTAACAGATGACCAGAGGGTAGGAGAGAACCAGACAGGACACAGATCACTGAACATGAGACAGTCATTGTCAGAAGCACTGGACTTTTAGGGATCAGTGCCACCAGGCAGAGAGAAAGGCAAAATTCCTGAATTGTAGAAAACTGCCTTTGGGGTAGCTGGATTGTTGGTTGCCTCCAACACACAAATGCACCAGGAGCCTTTGCTCCCAGGTGTAGCTCCAGATGTTCCTCAGCTGCTGCTCAATCCTAAACCAGCTCTCTTTTCCTTTGGGTTTTGAAGCATCCCTGAGGCACTCCCAGACTAGAATTGAGCATAAATATGAGTGTCACAGCCTCAAAAATTGGGACCTGAAGTCCATGCCAGATGTTTGGATAAGGCATTGTCCCAGAGACACAGAGTATAGCTTTGACCAATCTGACAGCTCCACTTTGGAGCACAGAGACACCCAAGCACTGCCATGGTAGCAAAAGCTTCCCCATCTGGCCCCACCAACCTCTGCACTCTCTTCTCTTGCTACTTTCCCACTGTGCCCTTTGTTTCAGTTGGGCCAAACTACATGCAGTTCCTGGAACTTGCATTTCACCAGCTTTGCCCACTATGTTCCCTCAGATAGGGAGGCTCTTTCACCTGACCAATCCTAAGTCTCGACCTGGCTTCCTCTCCTTCGTCAGGCCTTCCCCGACTTCTCCAGAAAGAGGCACCGATTGGCACCTGGGTCCTGGACTCCTCTTGTTCCCAGTCTGTTCATTCTTTATTTGATTTTAAGAAGGAATTTGGACCAGTTGACTTCTAAGTCCAGCTCCAAAATTATATCCTCTTATGATTCCATGGCCCTATCTTATGAATAATTGGGAGTGTCATCCTCTAAGAAACTTTTATCAAGACCCTTAAGTTCAGAGCTTAGAAAAAGGTGGCTCTGAAAAAACAAATTTCAGAAAAATGACAAAATGAATCAACTTAACTTCACCATTTGTGACAGGAAAAGTCACTTATTTCTCAAACACTCACAGATCATCTCCTATCTGCTGGCACAACTGGGAATGCAGGGAGAGAGGCAGCATTGCAAGACTTTTCAAGGCAGTGGTATCCCCAGAAGGGACACAAAGACAATCCCCCAGGGTAGGGATCTACCCTGTGCGCGTCTATATCATGTGTGTACAAGGGGCTCTCATTGTGTGTGTGTGTGTGTGTGTGTTTGGGGGGTACCCTTCTGCCTTTGCTTTCAATATATCGTGAATACCACTGTTTTTGTGATATGGGATGTCAATAATGAGACTGATCTTATAAAAACCAGGGTCTTTAAACCGTAGGGTCCTTGCAATGTACCACAAAGATGTTCATTTACATCAAAGTACTTAAAGATGTAAAGATAACTATATGTTTTCTTTGGCAAAAAGATGAGCATATGGGATGTCAATAATGAGACTGATCTTATAAAAGATGAGTATTCCAAACTAGCTGGCTTTTGTGGTAAAAAGTAGCCAACGGTAGTAGGCTACTTTGCAATATTTTCCAAAAATAAACACACTAAATCTGTCCCGTCAAAGTAAAGGGACATGAAAATATAACTCTTTTCAAAAGAAAGGTGTACTATAAAGAGAACTGGGAATGAAAATATAACTCTTTTCAAAAGAAAGGTGTACTATAAAGAGAACTGGTATTTTTGCAATATTTTAATTTTATATGATCTTTGCAGTTTAAAATTGAGACACCTGTACAAAAATTCAAAATGGATGACATTTAGAAGAAAATGCAGAAGAAAACCTTTGTGACCTTATATTAGAAAAGATTTCTTAGATCCTATACCAGAAACATAATTTGTATTTAAAAAACTGCTAAATTGAACTTCAGGACTTGTATCTAGAATATGTAAAGAATTCTCAAAACTCAACAATAAGAAAACAAAAACCAAATTTTAAAATGGGCAAAAGATATGAACAGACTTCACCACAGATAAATAGATGGCAAAAAAAGACCCATGAAAAGATGCTCAACATCACTATTCGTTAGGGGAAATGCAAATTAAAAACACAATGAGATATTACCACACACCTATCAGAATTTTTTTTTTTTTAACTGACAAAACCAGGTGCTGTCAAGGGAACTCTCCTACATGACAATATGCCACAGCCACTTTGGATGAGTGTTTGGCAGTTTCATTTAGCCAAGTGAAATGAAAACAAAACACTTTGTTTACACAAAACCTGTATGAGAATGTCTTTAGCAGCTTTATTCATAATTGTCCCAAACTGGAAACAACCTAAATGTCTCTCAATTGGTGAATGAATAAACAAATGGGTATATCCATATAATAGCACTCTGTAATAAAAAGGAACAAACTATTGTTATACATAACGACATGGATAAATCTGAATGGAATGTATTCAGCTAAGTAGATCAGTGCTTGCCAAAGGTTATGGGTAAGGGGAGAATTTTGACTATAAAGGGGTAAAAGGGTGATGGAACTGTTCTGTTATCTTGATTGTGGGGGTGGTTACAGGACTATGTATTTGTCAAAACTCATAGGACTGTATACCAAAGAGTGAATTTCACTGTGTAAAACTAAAAATAAATTTTTAAAAATCCAATAAAAAACTTAAAAATAAGCCATCTCTAAAATTTCCTGTATCTGAACTCCTATATTTATTCAATTAGGAAATGTAAACAGTTTCCTAATCTATTTAAAAGTATAGTGAATTTCACTGTGTAAAACTAAAAATAAATTTTTAAAAATCCAATAAAAAACTTAAAAATAAGCCATCTCTAAAATTTCCTGTATCTGTATACTGAACTCCTATATTTATTCAATTAGGAATTGTAAACAGCTTCCTAATCTATTTAAAAGTATTCCAAACAAAGAGTTTCAGAGGGATTTGAAGGCTTGTTAAAAACCACTTCTCTGAAAATTTGCAAAGAGCAACTGCAAAGTTCAGCAAAAACCTGTGTGTACTTGGTGGATGGTTTGAAAACTGGGATCATGATTTTTTGTAAGCACAAAGATACTCATGTTCCCTTTGAATCTACCTTTCTTTGTAGAGAAGTTTTCAGTGAGGGAAACTGTTAAAATGAATTACTGAAATGCATTCTCCTAAGAACACACGTTTGAATTACTGGATCAGAAAGTGACAAGAAAGGGTTTTGTTTTGTTTTTCAAAGAGCACATTCAATGACATATACCTTCAATAAAATAAGATTAAAAACAAGTTTATAATTGTTTTATTTTTCTTCTATCCTTTAAAATTACATAATTAAAATTTCCTTATGTTTATAATATACATAGTGTATAGAAGCACACACATGCTATTTATAAGTATGTATGTATTAGGAGCACATGCTCAAACATTATACTGATAGGGCTGTGGATTTTTAAAGTTTGGAGGCCACTTTAAAAATCTGAGGGTTCCAGGGCAGGGCCTAAGAGTACCTTTCCCTAGCCTGACATGGATTAGAATTCCTAGAAAGTGGAGGTAGGGGAGGACACATGGTAGAGAAGAGACATGCCAGTCAGGCCCAGAGGCACCTTGCAGGGCCACCACGTTTCCTCCAGGCCTGTTCTACGAGAGTGTGCTGGCAGAGGCCCACACACTCTTCAAAGAGAGCCGAACCTAGGCGAGGCTCTTAGTGGCAGTGTCCACACAGGTACCTCCTGAGAAACAGTGCCTATGAAATTATTTCCTCAGCCTGGCACTCAGAAGCAGCTAAATTTCCTGGGGCAGAATTCTGAGAACTCTTTCACCATGGCTTCCACAGTGGGGCCCTGCCAAGTCAATAGTTACGATGGAAAAAACAGCGAGCGAGAACAACAGGCATCTTGCAAATAGACACAGACAAGAATAGCCCCGGCTGGGCCACTGTATCCTGTGGGGCCCAGCCCAGCCCAGCCCAGCCCAGCCTGGCGCAACCAGGCATGCCTGGCACCCCCTTGAGCAAGGGTGGTACCAAAGGTGGGGAGACTGAAAGGAGGTTAAGGAAGCAATTAGAATGAAGCAAATAGAATCTCAGACCAGGAGATTCCAAACAGACTGTCAGACACATTTGTTTGCTGTCATTACTGCCAGGCAACAAGGCAACT